ATGGCCTGACAAGCAGCGTTTAAATTAGCTCAGTATCGTCTAATCGTGTGTGGGTCGACAATGACTTTTGGTTCAGAGAAAGAAAAGCAGCGGCTGGAACTGTCCCTGGCCGGGCCTCTTTTTGTCCTGACCAGCATTTGTGCCCGTATAGCTTTACTCGAGTGGCATGACTATGTTTCAGGATAACAAAACTGAGCATGATCTGTGAAGGCTAAATTAACTAGTCCAGGGAGCGGCTTGCTAGCTTGTACATTTTTGGTTATCCACGATCAGAGGGTTGGGCAAGCTAACAGCACAACAAAATAGAGAAGTATCCGGCCGAATAAAGCTGTAGTGAATTTTTTTTAGGGAAAATTTTGTTTTTGCCATTCTAGATTTTGCCAATTTTTCTTATGCCACTCTAGATTTTGACAATTATCACAATTGTCATTCTGTGGCAAAAGCAAAATAATTTTATTTCATTTTTGCCACTCTTAACTTTTGACAATTATCACAATTGCCACTCTCAACATTTTGCTTTTGCCACGGGAATGGCAATTGTGATAATTGTCAAAAATTAAGAATGGCAAAAGTGAATGTCAAAATCTAGAATGGCATAAGGAAAATTGGCAAAATCTAGAGTGGCAAAAATAAAAATTTCCCTTTTTTTAGGGAAGTAAATTTTGGCTGGATCTAATCGATTCTCTAAATTTAGTGGAGTAATTTTTTTGGTCAAATGCATTTCATTTTCGGGCACCGAAACAAATTTCATTGTTTTTTTATTTCATTAAATGTTATTTTAATACATCGTAGTACATAATTCACCAATTCTTTGCTAAGAGAACCGAACCAAAAAAACAAGAACCACAATTAACTTTCATAACTACTCCCACTAGTTGGATTAATATTTTCTCTATGTCTTCATCTTGAACATTGATGATTCTCTCAATTGGCTTCTCAAGTTTGCACACTTCTTTCTTTTCCAGTTCCAACCAATTCGACATTGTGTTGCCTCTAGTCTTATCTCTAGTCGCTACTTTAGCAAGGAGTGGACGGGCATCTATCAAATTTCTCGTTATCAATAGAACGATGTAATCTTCTTCCCAATACCAGAACTTGAATCCATTCTACACACAATTTTGAGCAAATAATGAGCCACAAATTGTGACTAATCTGATGAACGACTTGATAAACAAGCACTTATTCCATCTTTTTTGCACTTGAAGAACACCCATCAGGATGTTCTGGCGTGGTCAAAACTCGGTGCACCACCTGCCGCGGGCAGTCATCGCACTTGATGACCGGCAACTGGGAGCCGGCGAGTTGGGCTAGTGCTGAGCCCGACCGACGGCTATGCGTGTCTTTGTCGGTGGTTCGCCCATGAGTGAGATTTGAGCGGCTAGAGGAGGAGGCCATACCTACATGTGGTGTAGAGTCGTTGCCAGGTTTGTGCGGTTCGATACTGGCCAGTCCATGACAAAACGACTGGATGCATTAAACCCAACGATGGCGGCGATAGACGTAGATCGGTCGATTTATGCGTTGGTGACAGGGAGAAAGAGAGGCTCAAATCCGGGTGTGCGAGGACCTCGACGGGGCCTACGAAGCATCGACAGTGGCAGGTGGTGGTCAGCGGAGGCAGGAAGGATGATGATGGCGCCTGGCGTAGATGCAGCGCAGAAGTGGGGTGAGTGAGATTATGAAAGGGAACAGAGTTTTTGCTCAAGCGGTGGGCGGCCAACTAAATATAAGAGCAACCAGGCGGCGGAGTAAAATTTTACTCCACTATTTGATTTTGGTAATCGACTATATGCGGGTTAAAGGAATAAAAACAAAAGTTTACTCCTGTATAGCCTTCTAAATCGGCGGCTAGAGTTTCTCTAAGCATTGTTCGTGAGCAGCATTCCAAATCTATGAAAACTAAATTAACTAGTCCATCGAGTGGCTGTACATTGTAGTCTTTGTATTTTTAAAGCCCACTATCGAAGGCTAGGAAACCTAAGCTTCATTCTGATCCATTTGTAAATTTGTAGAGTTTTATGAAACCTAAGCTCCTAAGGCCATACAAGCTTGGAACCTGAAACGACGAACTTACATGGTTTTGAGACTCAAAACTGCAGTTTTAAAGTTATAGGACTAATACACCTGTAATAGTTTTAGGTTTATAATTACGGTTTTAAATTAAGTCATAGAGCTAAACTGACACATGTTTTAGGACTTGCTTCCTTCGTCCGGGTTTATTAAACCTCCTTTCATTTTGAGCCAAAGTTTGGTCATTAATTTAACTAATAAGATCTAAAGCATACATCACAAAAATTATATAATGGAAAACCTCTTTCAAATACAAATCTAACATTATACTTTATGTAGCATATATGTTATATACTCCCTCCATTCCCTTATACAAGGCCACTATGAAAAATACAATTTGCATCTATACAAGGCCATTAACTATAATCGAGGAAAAAATTAATGATGCTTTCTCTTAGTACCAACTGTTTTAATATTTGCATGCATGTAGTCATAATGACATTGTGCTACTTTCTTCTAATTCCTTCCTTGAGGACATGTTGGCACACTAATGATGTCGATTAACGGAAAGAAAACTGGACTTTCAAAATAGTCATTAAATTTTGCCTTGGTACCTATATTTTGAGTTTGTGGCCTTGTATAAGGAAATGGAGGGAGTATTTATAGTCAAATACTTGGTCTAACTTGAACCCAAAATGTAAGGAGGCCTAATAAATTCAGACCGAGGTAGTATAATGCATTTTACTCAATATTCAATGGCTAAAATACAAAGAATGAATGCTCGCCTTCAATAAAAAAAGAGACCCAAATGATAAGTGACACACGTATGAAACGAAGCATTTCAGCCCTAATGTTTTTTTACAACTAAAGTTGTCATCAAAAAGAAAAACAAACCAAAGAAAAAACTGAATCTTATCATCCAGAGAAATGTTACCATACTTGACAACTAAAATTGTCATCCTTGTGTCACTAAATTTACCTGAAAACATTAGGAGTTGCTGTTTTCATGCCATTACACTTATGGAGGTAAAAAAAAAGGACGAAGGCAGAGCAGACATAGCCGCCGCTGAGCTTCGCCTTTCCCAAATCGAAATTGAGAACGAGGATCTCCCAACTCGGAAGCAATGGCCGCCGGTCATGCCAAGCAGTGGACAAGCATAGCACGAGGCCGCCGATGCCGGTGAATCCCCTCGAACGTGCTCCACAGGCACTCACCATCTCAACTTCTCAAGTCCACAGGTACCGCGCCCCCTTCATCTGTGTAATTTATCCCCTATAATCTGGATATATAATCTGGGGATGACCGTCGACTATTTCATATTCCTCATCGTTTGTCCAGAGGTGAAATTCGTCATCTCTTAATTGGTGCATCAGATCTGCGAGTTGGAACTCGGGATGCCGCCGTCGAGATCTAGAAAGCGCACTTCGGCGCCGCCGGCCACGACTGCGCGCGCAAGGAGGTGCCGCCGGCCTGCGGCGGTGCCATTGGACGATGTCGCTGGCGCAGTGGCGCCCCCGTTTTCTTCCCCCCTCTGGGCGTCGCTCTCAGAGGATTTGGTTTGCGAGATAGCCTGGAGAGTGCTCTCGGGCGATATTCTGGACTACGTGCGCTTCCGCGCCGTTTGCACCAGCTGGCGGTCTGGCACCGTCTGCCCGCGGGGCCGCGGCGTCGCCGATCCGCGCTTCTACCCGCGCCACTGGATGATGCTGCCGGAGGGCCATGGCCTCTACCCCGGCCACAGCAGGCTGCGCGGCTACGTCCGCTTCTTCAACCTTGACACGGGAACCTTTGTCCGTGTCAAGCTCCCGCTGTTCAACAGCCACTGCGCTCTTGACTCGGTCGACGGCCTCCTCCTCCTCCAGAGGGACGAGGACACCGGCATCCGCCTCGTCCACCCGTTCACCGGCGACATCGCCGAGCTCCCACCACTCGCCACCCTGCTCGCGCAGCTAAAGAACGACCCATCGGTCCCTCATGGTTCTGATCCTTACTGGCGGTGGTCCTTAATCAGATACTGCGTCTGTGCTACCGTGTCCTGCAGTGCCGGAGCCATCACCGTGATGCTCGTGTTCCGTCATCTGCGACGTGTTAGCCTTTGCTACCTCCGAGGACCAAGCAACCAAACGTATCAACTAGTATTACAGATCGATTACACATGGATTGCAGTGAACTGAACCAAGTTTCAGCCGAGCCAAGGTAGAGTTGCTGAACGAGTCATATCACGACACAATCTCAGACAGCATTACAGAGACCAGACAACCACAGCATATATCAACCAGAGACTGATCAACAAGACGCAAAGCAGAGACAACCACAGCATATATAAACCAATAACACTGTGTCTTTGCATTGTGTAGGCTGCCATTCTAATGTATGTATCGTTCTCTGTTCTCTTTCATCTTCCATTGGATTATCATTGGGAAGGTCAAAAGAAACAAAGTGTTATTGGTTTTCCTTGGGTATAAGTTGCTAAATGAGTGTTCATCTTCCATTGGATTATCATGGGAAGGTCAAAGAAATAAAGTGTTATTGGTTTTCTTTGGGTATAAGTTGCTAAATCAGTTAAACCAGAAGTGTTTTTTGGGTTAGTCCTGCATGAGTTATGTGGTGCTAATTTTGCTGGGTTCAGTTGGGTAGTCGAACTTGGAAATTAATATTTGTAAGCCAAGTTATACATGTAGATTGGGTTTGTATGGAATTTTTAGGTTCTCGCCTACTGGTGAGCCGCAATACCCTTGCCAAACTGGCAATTGTTTTGTGTCGACTATTTTAGCAGAGTTCATTTCACATCTTATTTGGCAATAGGATGTTTGCTTCGTCAGATCCAGAACATGTTGCAAAATGTCTGGACACGTCAATTGATATTTTATCTAAAAACATCTAGCACTTCCTCTTTTGCAACATGTCGATTGATATTATGCTATATCATACTAAATCATGCTGATACTTGCAGTGGATAATTCCTCCATCACCGGTTGAGTACCCAATTATGGGGCTTAACCTTCTGAGGATGTTGGTCCAGAATAGAATTGCGGAGTTCCACACTGAGCTGGAGCCTCTGCCCACCAAAGCGCTGGAGAATCCTTGCATCAAGCACGCGGTTGAGCTCGAGCAGTCCCTTATGGAGGGCGCCTACAACCACGTGCTGAGTGCTCGACAAGCTGTGCCGCATGAAAGTTACGTATACTTCATGGACCTTCTAGCCAAAAGAGTAGTTAGGTAAGTGGGTTTGTGTCGCTACCTCTTCATGTGTGATCTGCCGATTTACTCCTTATGCAGTCCATCACTGTGACATTTGCTGCACGCGAAGAGACGAAATAGCTGGGTGCAGCGAGAAGGGATATGATTACTTGTCGATAAGTGACGCGAAACAAATGCTTATGTTCAGCTCTGACGAAGAACCACAACAGTACATCTCAGAGGTAAATTCTGTTTCCATCAACCTTTTGTGTTCTGGTGTGAATTACCTGAGATACCACCATGAGTTCTCAGTATGATATCGTTGGCAGGAACACCCCGAGAGGGATGTTAGGAATGGCCGGGTCTTCTTCCAGAAGGCGATGGAGTCTCAGCCCTGTAAGGAGACACCGGCGATGCCCGCCATGAACAAGACCCTTGGCTGTGCGAAGGAATTCGAAAGGACAGTGTAATTTGCTTTTTTATTTCATCTAGACTGTAAATTGCCATGAAGAGGTGGATTATTGGATCGTCCTGTAACTCAGTTGTACTACTTTGTTAAATCATTTGTTTCACCATTCAGTTTCCAAATTGCTCTACAGTCTACACACAACCGCAAAATGTCCCTTAAAATGGCAATGAAACCATATCACACAGACATCCGGAGTCCCAGAAGGCCAGAACCAGAAGGATCTACGACCGATCTTCAGATAAATGGACCGTATCTAACATGTCCAAACTCCCAAAGCAAACCTTCAGAAACCCCCATCTTCTAATGAATGGGTGTAAGTTTCAGTAGTAAGGTCCAGGGTCTAACTATGTGAAAGCACCCGTGAACTACATGCTGG